TCACCAGCAGGAACACCTCTGAGCTTGTCCTTCAGGACCTGGAGATGACTGGAAACCTGTTTGCGATCGCGTCTGATACCGGTGTCTCTGTAAATAGAATCCTGGATCAGCTCATTCCGCCCTCGCTGGGTGCCTTCGAGCATGTATTTCTTCCTTCCCATTGGCGGCCATCGCACGAGTGCTGTAGAGTGTTTGTCAGATGTTGGGCTGGAATTGTGAAGCTGCGTAATCACAGGTGGTGGGAGAATAGAAGTGAAAAACGCAGGTAGTGAGACAGAGGTACTGCGAGGTACGGTGTAATGGGAATGAAGACTTACCCGTCCAGAAGGCTTGTTCTAAGAAGTCAGGCCAGACGGTCTTGTCCTTTTCTTGCTGTAGTCCCTGTGCCTTCCTCTTTTCCTGCTCTTTTCTCTCTGCAGCGTCTCTCGCGACGACTTCGGCCGGTGTGAGGGCTGGTTGCTTTTCGCGATATGTCTGGTACTTTTCTGACCGTTGGAGTAGTTTGTATAGTCGCCCGAGCTCGCATCTGATCTGTTTCTCTGACCTCTCGACGCCGAAGCCGGCCAATCCGATGTGTTGTGCGTGTACATTGCCGGTGTAATAGTTTCCTGTGGCGACGCTCCGCTGTGCGTGAGAGCTGTCGGAGGGGCTGAGACTGCTTCTTTGTCCCACTTGTGGCGAGGCTGTACTGCTATGAGTGTTGTGAGACTGCGCAGCGTAACGCTCCTGGAGGACGTCTCGATGTTGTGGCGATCCACCGACCGGAGTACCTTCCAAGAGGGGAATGTCCGCCGACAGCCTGGACAAGGGCTGGGGTGACTGGACCTGCATGGCGGCTATGGCATGAGAACCTTAGAATATGAAACCAGCGATGATAAGTATGGATGAGACTTGAAGTACAAAGCAATGAATGTTGAGCAGTTGAAGCAACGAGTGTGGTGAATGAAGACGAGAATGTAGCTGGGTATGCGGCGAGGTTTGCAGATGATTGCATTGATAAAGTATGGTCCAGATGACGGGCCCTAGGCAGGAGGACTACATGATAGGCACGAAGGCCATAGCACCGACCGTAGGGTGCAATACGACTTCCGCTAGCCGGAAATTGATAGAGGGGCCAGTCATCGGGGTGACAGTCCAGTACCACAAGATTAAGATTGGAGTGCGTCGTGCCTTCATCATGGCCTCCAAAGAGTCCCAGTTCGACTTTTGGCCATTGATCACATCTCTCGTGAAACCTTTGCTGTTGTAATGGTAAATGTAGCGTGGTTAGCAGAGTGATCAAGGGCATGGAGTCAAACTGCCATCTGTTCGACAGTCACCTGATTGGCCATAGGCGAACAGAGCCATCACGGACTGCTCAAAGCAAGGATAGAGGTCAGTGTCCGCAAACAACAAACTACGTCAAGTCTGCATGATCGACAAACGTCTCGTTCATGGCTTCTTTACTCCCTTTGGAGTAGTCTGAAACGCCGTGTGGTGGCCATGCCCATTGATGCAATCCACTGGCGATATACCCTGTCGAAGCTTAGAAAACGGTGTTCTAGATATAGCGTCGTGCAGCAGGTCAAAGCACCCCTACTACTTCCTACGGACCGCGGCAAAGGGCGGCCTAGCTTGTGTGGCCGGGGAGCAAGGGATGGCGTCAAGGTATGACGGTGTCGCGCGCGCAACTCCTATCGGAATACTCTTGCGCTCAGTCGTCTAGATCATCGGTGCCTGCAACGTTAAACTTCTTGCGACCACCTTCTGTAAGGCGTTGCAAGGCGACCTTGTTGGCCTGTGCTCCCACCTTCTGTTGCATCTTCTCCAGCTCCTTCTCTGGATCATCAGACTCCGTCTCAGCAAATGCAAGGACCAGGCGACGGCCCAACAAATGTGTGTTCTTCAATGCGTTCATGGCGTTGACAGCATCGCGTTTGGTGGTGAACTCTGCGAAACCGAAACCACGTGAGGAAGCGTCGAACTTCTTGGGTACTCGTACGGATCGAAGCTGACCGTAAGGAGTGAACAGAGCACGCACATCCTTTTTGCTGGCTTCGAACGGCAAGTTCTTGATGAGAATCTTCGTGCTTGCCGCCTTCTTTGCTGCATCCTCGTTGCGGCGTTCCTCGGCGGCATCGGCGCCCTTGTGGGAAGCTTTGATGAGAAGCTTGTGCCCTTCGAGATCGTGTCCATCCATGGCTCGCAAAGCTGCAGTGGCAGTCTCTGGACTGTTGAATTCGACGAAACCAAAGCCCATGGACAGCACGCCTCGCTTGGGGTCGGTCTTGGTCTTGACAGTGGCACTCCGGAAACCGGCCAGAGGTTTGAACGCCTCCGTGAGACGCTCAGTTGTGGTGGAGAAGTTCAAGTTGCGCACGTACAAAGTGGCGGTGTTTGTAGCCTCGGGCTCAGGGTCGTCCACAAGCAGGTCAGTTGCAGAAAGCTTCACACCGGGCTGTGACGACTGCAAAGGCTGGGCGGACGGCGTGGTCTGTACAAAGTTGGTTGCTACACCTTCCTTGAACAGATCCTTGGGGGCCTTTTCGAGGTACAGAATCGAGTCTTTCATCTTCCGATACGACAGCGACATGAAGGCAGTCTTTGCTTCCGCGACGTTGGAGAACTCGACGATGGCTGTCATACCTGTCGGTGGCATCAGGAACTTGGTCACCTTGCCGTGCTCCTCGAACAGTTTTCGAAGCTCATCGGCCGTCACAGTGTGGGGTACGTTCTTGACGAGGATAGCAAGGTCACCTTTAGCGCTGCGTTGAAAGGCCTCTAGGTCGACGCCATGCTGCGCAAAGTACGACTTGGTCTCTTGGATGATGTGTGTCTCGGCATGCGCCTGCCTGACTGCAGCGTCTGACGAAGTAGGGTCGAGCAGCTCACCCTTGCTGATGCCCATGCGACTTGCGATGGTGGACATGACTGCATCAGCATTAAGGTAGAGCGAGTTCCAGTTGAACGTGGCCTTGACTGCCTGTTGTTTCCTCCTGATCTCCTTCTGCTTTTTAAGAGGCAGCTTGGAGATCTCGTAGTCGTCGAGCTTGGTGTCTTTCTTCGCTTTCGCGGAGATAATGTGAAGGAGGCGCCCCTGGAAGATAGTGTTGTCGTTGTCAAGGTAAGCTTCCACTGCGTCACTCGGGTTCTGGAATTGCACGAAGGCGAAACCTTTACCCTTGCCATCTACCTTCTTCAACGGCACATGCACCTGTCGTAGTCAGCAACTATTCGTACAAATGTACGTTTACAAACAATGAGTGGTTGCCGCTATCAGATAAGAAAGACATCTACTAAAATACTTTCACAAGGTAACCTCAGGTGCCGAAGCATCAGTTGTCCCTATCTTGACGTTCATCATTGCATGGGCGGGTAAAGAAAGAGATGTATCATGACTTACTTCCTCGAGAGCTCCGTGCTTGGAGAACTGTTCCTTAATCTCATCCTCTGTCACCTCGTAGTGCAGATTTCTGAGGTATAGTCGACCAGTCTCGCGGATCTTGTCCTCTTCGTCAGGCGCGGCAGCAGTATCGGTCTGCTCTTCCGCCGGGGGTTGTGGCTCTGGCTGTGCGTCGGCAACGGCCGGTGAAGGCTCAGCAGGTGCGCGTTGTTGGGCAGCTGGTTTCGATGCTACAGCGACGGGAGCCGTGCTAGCTGATGGCATTTCATCATCTTCCACGAGCTCCAAAACCCTGTTTGTTCTCGACCGCAGCCAGTCCTCATCCGTGACAGGTCCTTGTTCGATGGCTGGCGCTACTTGTACGTCCTCCATCGCGTCCCCACCTTCGACAGCTTCTGGTTGAACCGCCGCCGCGCTTGGCTCAGCGGGTGTGGGCTGTGGGACTGCTGGGACTGGTGCGGTCGCAGGCTCTTCAGCAATCTTTGGCTTCTTCGAGATGACTTGATATTCATCGTCGCTCTCGTCCTCCGGTACAACGACCTCAGGCACAACGTCTTCAGCGGCTTGGACGGGTGCTTCATTGAGCTGGGTATCGCCATTGGCCCAGATGCTGGTCTTAGACGGCGGCTGATAGACCTCCAAGAACTCCTTCAACTTCGGGTCCTGCTCGGCTTCCTCTCGTTTTCGCTTGAGGTCGTTCTCTTGCCGTTCCGGTCGGTACTCGTCGCTTACTGGGGCGCTCTTTTCGAGTTTCTGCTGCCGCCGTGACTTTGGCAGTTCCTTGTCGGCGATCTGCGCATGTTAGCCCCGCTGGTCGCCATCGTGGTCGCAAAGTACATACAGGTCGCGCAATCTCTGCGTAGATCTTGGTGAGCTTGATGAAGGTCTTGTTGAAGTACTTGACAGCCTTGGCAGCATCTTCGGGCGTCTTGTATCCAACATAGCCGATGCGTCGGTGGTTGAAGAACTTTACGTCAGTGATGGGAAACTTGGCAAAATGTTTCCGCACGTCATCTTCGGTGAAGTGAGAGGGCAAATTCCTCACGAAGATGCGTGACGACTCCATGCTGTAAGAGTCCTGCCTGCCCGGGTTGTGGTGTCGTGGAAGGAGTAGTGGATGTCCGTGTCGCGTTCTGAAGAAAAAAGTGAACGACGCATGGGCCGGCAGTCCACTAGCGCGCATTAGGCTCACGGGGAAGGCCCGAGCGCAGACCGCCGCGAGCGCCTGCTCAAACATCATGACAAGGCCCTGGACAAGCCTCACTCAACCACGCGCATTATAAGAGCTCGCCTACCTTGAAGGAAGCTACACCGAATCAATCAACCTTTGATACACATACAGATCAACACCATGGCCAGCGACAAGTCAGATGCCCACAAGCAGGATGGTAAGACCCCTTGTTCCTGTCAACACGTCTGCCAAAGTACAAGCTAATGCAGTATGTAGCTCAAATCAAGTCCGCAGACATGGTACGGGATAGCTAGGCTGCTGCTTCCGGATTCATATTGACATGTGTGACAGAGCGACGAGATGCAACAAGAGGCCATTGAAGTCGGTAAGTCAACTGCTTTCGACATACCTCGACCGATACGCTGACATGCTGTAGCACAAACGGCTATGGAGCAGTTCACTATCGAGAAGGTGGGACTTCACTATCCGCTCAGGCCGAGACCATTTTAGGGCCGTACTGACTTTCACCTTGTAGGACATTGCCCAGTACATCAAGAAAGAGGTAAGATCACCACACCCAGGGCTGTTGGAAGCGCGCGCTAATATCTCCGCAGTTCGACAGCCGGAAGGGTGCCACATGGCACTGCATCGTCGGACGCAACTTTGGAAGCTTTGTCACGCATGGTAAGCTGAACTATCGTACTGAGACATTTCATACAACGATGACTGACTGGACTACAGAGACGAAGCATTTCATCTACTTCTACCTCGGCCACTGTGCTATCTTGCTCTTCAAGACTCAGTAGACGAGTGCGACTGGACCAAGGCGCCCGTGACCTCGAAAGTCTCATCCATGCTCTCTACTCAGGTCTTCTTCGTGGAGTCAGCATTAGGTCTCTTTCCAGATTGGGAGACGCTGCCTCGCTCTCACAGTGTGGATGTTATCTTCCAGCAGAGGTCTATGGGCTCTGCGATTCATCGGTGTTGACGTGCGAGGGATAATGAAGGGCTTGTACTATCCTACTCTTAATGACTGTCACGAGTCTCTTTCCACAAGAGTGGCTTTAGAGGCTACCGCTCGATACCATAATGAAGAGTTGATGCTCAAACCCCATCAGCTATCTGTGATGTGCTTCGCGATTCTGATCAGGTGACTAACATCCACTGCGAATCACGATGCGGGCGCAGCAATCCTCTTCAGGTAAGAGCTAGCCGTCGATCAACTCCTCCGCCACATCCACTTCACCAACATCTCAACACTTCCGCTCCTGCACTCTGAACTTTGCGCAATGCAACGATTAATCTACCAACGCATCGACACGCCTGAGATGCGTACTAGCTACGTGGATATGTAATAAGCGCCGCGGGGAATGCCGCTAGCCCGATGGATTCCCAAGCCAAGCGCCAGGTGTGGCTGAGACGCATCGATGATGACGCAGCTTCCTCGGCGCCAATGGCCTTCTACCAGCGGCCAGAAACCCGCGCCTCCCATCGCAACATATCTCAGACGATTCTACTTCTTTCCAGACAAACTTCCCAGTACCATTAAACCTCCATACCACGCGCTATTACATCCACGAGTAGTACATACGAACATCACGCAACGACCGAACGCGTAGCATCCGTACCACTTGTCGCACGCGCATCGTTCCACCGGCCCAACCGCGACGAGAAACCCGCCCCCGAATAGGGAAATACACGTATCACAACGAGTACTGCGCTACACGCGCATATAACCCGCGATCATGTTCTTCTTCTTTACTTGCGGAACACACAGTACGTCTGCCACCATCTACCACGCACCCACCCTCACTCTCATCCCAATCCAACCCGACCCTCTAAGTACCCGTCACTAACAGCCCCCCAGCATTCACCTCCCGCCTCGCCGGCACCGAAAACCTCACGCTCCAATGCCAAAACTGCGGCAACAACACCGGCCGCGTAATGAAGCGCTGGGAATGGTTCACATTCTGCTTCATCCCCGTCATCCCATTCAGCCTCAAGCCACGCAAGGAAGTCGGGTGCCATGTATGCAACTTCTGGCAGGACATCAAGTATCGGCCGGAACTGGCGCATCTTGCCAATGGTGGTAAGCCGCAGGAGGGTGGTGCGGCTATGCCGATGAATGGGTATGGAGGACAGGGTCCGCCGGGTGGTGGTGCACCGCCGGGTTATGGTCCGCCGCCGCAGGGGGTGCCGCAGTATAAGTAGCTGAGGGGAGGGAGAGGGTATGTGTGGAGCTGAGGGGTGCGTGGTGTGGCGTTTGGGGGTGAGGCCTGGGGATGGCTTGGTGCATTGGGGTGATACCAACGGAGCGTGGAGAAGAGTGGGCGCTTCGTTTCGTGTCTTTGGACTGTTCTGTTTTGCATCTGGCGTTTGGGCATCTTCGTTATCCTGATACCACCCTACCTATTTTACGTCGCCTTCAATCGAATCGTTCCTGTTATCTAAACATGCAAAGCATCCGTTTCTTGGTGTCACTTGACATGGCCTTATATGATTCAGATGATTTGGATGATGCTTGACGTGAACACGCATGGGTGTATGCGTGTATGACCGTTGAGGATATGATGTTTGCTGTGGAGCTGCTATTCTGTGTGCGTTGTTTCTTGGTACTCCCGTTCTATTCTAAACTACTCGTAGTTTCGACTATAATGTGAGAGTGACCATTTCGCGCCTCTATGTGACGCTTGAGTCGAAGCGTTCTCGTACCAACGTGTTCGCGTGTCTGTGGTCCGACTAGACAATGTGAAGTGTTTCTTCTTCGCCCATCAGAAGGTCATCAATTGCGGAGCTGTTCAGTATGTGGAGTTGCATCCTACCAATTCGCTCGTAGATGTGCTCCTCGGGGTCCAAAGATCGCAAGATGAGAAGCTGGTACTCCCCCAGCGAGCCCCAAAAGAATGTTTGAGCCACCAACAGCGTCTTGACACGCTCACCTAGAGCCATGGGTGTGCTATGAGGCTTCGTACTGTTTGCACTTTCCGGCCAACAGTCTTCCCACGTTGCTTGCTCAATATACTTCCACACGGGATCGTCTGGATACTTCACTCGCCGGTATGATCCCGTGGTAGATTGATAGGAACCTTCGAGATCTTGCCGGAGACATCGACTTCGTAGGGTGATCTTTGCTGAGAGAATCTCTCCAAACCCATCCTCGCCCGCAGGTACGATGTGTGCAGTAACGAACTCGCATAGAGCTTTAAGCTCTACTCGGGGTCCAAAAGTGAGAGGACCTATAATGGATGCCCAAGACCATGACGGAGCTCGCCACTTCGGTGGCCTGGTTACTTCTTCTGGGAACTCCACTAACCATAGCAAGTCGGAGATTATGCTACTTTCCCACAGGCCGGCGATGTATGGCGACTTCTTGTACTGATACATTTGCTTGCTTAGTCCTTGTAGGGCTGGGAAGACGTCTCTTTCGAATGTTAAATCCATACGATTGTATGCCTGGATAACTGGGTACCATAAATCTGGTCCGTCTCTGGAACCAGTTTGGGATGCCTGTGTATATTTTTGTGGGCTGCGTACGTTCTCGTAGGCATCAAAGTAGTCGTCTATGAACGAGCATTCGCACACCGTTTCGGCTCGGCATCCCCAAACGAGCTCTTCGTCCGTGAAGGTAATCATTCTTCGCGAGAGCAAGCATTCTTGTAAAGTCCATCCACGCCGTAACAAGGGAAGTGTGTTCGTAAGCCATGCTTCGCCCCGCAATTGAGGCCGAATATGCACCTCTAGTCTCGAGCCATCTGGATCGCAATACGAATACGCAGTAGAAGAGCGTTTGGAAGTTTGCCGAAAACATCCACTCGTTGGACCATCCGCGGCAGCAGCAGCAAGGGTAAGAGCAGCACCAGAGTAAACTTGTGCCATCTTGCTTCCTTCGATGCGCCAATCCTCGTCACTGTCTTGTTGGATGCACAGTGAATCTATCCACAAATATCGATAGCCCAGCTGGAAGGTGAAGGAGATGGCTTCCTGGAAAGTACGAGGAAGTTCGTGCCAGGGGATGTTTTGCTTAAATCTGTCCACGCTAGAAGTAGTGGTCTGAATCATGCTGCCCTTGCCCCAGCAATGGCTCAGGCAAACATAGGGTTCAACTTCTCCCTTAGACTCATAAAGCTTGACAGATTTGGGGCCTTGGATCGCGATGACGCGAGAAGGCAGCTGTAAATTGGTTCCTCTGCACGCTTCGTGGTTCTCCTCGCAATCTCGCAACCATGCAAGAGCGCGTTCGACGGCGTGTTTAGATCCGGTGTTGGGGCATACTTCAAGCTCGCGAGGCAGATGCGGCACCTGCCATGGTTGAGATTGGGACAGATGTAGAGGACTGCCTCCAGCCAAAATGACGTTCCTAAACATCTCTTTTGGGACGAATATTTCCCATGCTTGGTCTTGAAAATAAGTGGTCCATCGCGTTTGATTCTGCTGCCACCTTGCAAAATCCCAGGAACCCAATGATTTACTTCCAGTCCTTACAGAGCAATGTTTCAATATACTGAATAGTATCATGCATCCAGCACAAGCTTCTTCAGCAGATGGCACTAGCTTGGAAAAGTAGGTGTACGCACCTTCCGTGGGCCAGAGATTATTTAGGCATACTTCGCAGGTCTCCGCTCTGACATATGCGGCTTTAATATTGTCGTAGTCTGAAGAGGTTTTCGAACTATCGTCCATAATCCACCAAGATGGTGGATCCCAGTGCATTATCCGCTCTAGCAAGTCGCCGCCCGGATCAGAGGCGGGCTCTTCCACATCAGAGACATCGTCTGCCACATCAGATCCAGAAGCTTCCATGGTGATGCGGACGCCAAAGTGCAAGCGTACGTGAGAGTCGGGAGGTTACTCCTATAGCAGATTTGCCAGCAGGCGCAATGCTGAGCTGGGCAGCAAAGGAACTTCCCCGAAAAGCTGGTCCGCGCAGAAAGAGCTGAAGGAAGGGTATCGACGACGGGTGTATGAAATATGTGTCCAGAAAGACAACTGCAGCGATTGCTTATCTGGCCGGTTGAAGAGAGGGGTCAGGCAGCAGGCACATGCGCGCCACATGTTGGGGGCTGAGAGGCGTATCGCAAGCCAATCAGTCTGCCCGGAGCGAGAAGCATCCTAGTCTGACAGTCCTGGAGAAAGACAGAGAACTGATGCACCTTATACAAGAAAAAAACTAAACAGGTCTGCAGGCTACATTTAGCTAAAGCCTTGCAAAGTAGGTGACCTAACGTCAACGTAGGCTCTCAGCTATTTGGTTTTTTCCTAGGTTAGCGTGGATGGGTGAAGCTGTATATCCACACTTCACTCACTAGAGCAGAATCGGATGTAGCATAGTTGATTAGGCGTGAGTATCAATCGATGGTACCAATTAGTTCGTCGCAACCCAGTCGATTCGTGAAGCATAGGATGCGACGGTATGTCAACCGGCTAGTATCAAAAGACGACAAAACGAAACGAACGTGCAACGGCCTGCGACTGCTATATCTGGAGATGAAGGAGGTTTGAAGCCACGGCGCACCATCGGAAGGTTTGGTGTTTCAGTGGCCCGTGCGCCTTCTCTCTCCCGCGAGGGGTTGCGGCAGCAACTGCCCTGCAGCACATCTTTGACGCAACTCCACTATCCTAGTGTAGAAACATGTCGGCAGTGTCGAAACATAGGGACATCCGAGTCCAGAAATGTACTCGGCCCCGTTTCGCGACCGCTGGCACCGCACCGGCAGTCTCGAGTATGCGGATGGCGGAACCCCGTTGGGCGGGGACCCGAAGCCAAACGTCGCAGAAGGGGACGCAAATAGAAGTGCTGGAATATGGA